AATCTGGAAAGCAGGTGCTAGATTCCTTTTCTGAATATTAGCTAAATCTGGAAAAGAAAAGTCAATTTCTGCTTCGGTGGCTCAGAAGTGTAAATCCTCCTACGTGCCTGGTACTGTATCTAAAGCTGCCCAGGTCCTAGTACAGCCTCCCCTCCCTTACTTTTCCGTTTAAATTCTAGTGGGATCCACGTACCTCCCTTGCTAGGCTTCGGATAGAGAGGTGCACTGTCCATTTAGTCCACCCAATTCCTTCTTTGGGGGATAGACCAAGGCTGGGGTGGCGGGAGGTGCGGGGGAGGGGGAGCCCAGAGCTGGGGCAGCAGAGGGTGCGGGTGTGGTGGGGAAGAGCCCAGGGCTGGGGCGGCAGGAGGTGCAGGTGGGGGCCAGAGCTGGGGCAGCAGGGGGTGTGGGCGGGGGAGAGTCCAGGGCTGGGGCAACACGGGGTGGGGGGCAGCAAAAAACCTAGAGCTGGCTCTGCCCCTACCATTCACAGCAAGCTGCAGCATGAAGTTTCAGTTCCACACTCCTTCCCCCTCCCTTTTGTGTTAATTGCGGCCAAGGGAATGCTGGGAAAAGTAGTTCTTTCCCTGCTCCAGGGCTGGCTCTTTAGGCAGGGAGCTAACTAATGAACTATAGATCCCAGGGACCCCTGTTGGTTCTCAGCTCCCATGCTGGATTCTTGCGCCCCTGCAAATTTGCCGCCTCAAGCAACTGCTTGCTTTGCTGGTGCCTAGAGCCGGCCCGGCCCTCACCACAGCGCGACATCGCCCACTTCTCTATCAGCATGATGTCATCCACCACTCGACGTCACCCGCCTCACCGCCACCTCAGTGCGATGTCATCCAATCAACCAGCCCTGTACCTTGGCATGATGTCACCCCAGCCCCCAACCTCACAGCGTGACAAAGCCCCAACCTGTACATTTGCTGTTTCAAAAGCCAGTGAAAAATCACTGTAGTGGTTGGCCTCAATTTCACCAGCACCAGGATAGCTCTGGGTAAAAGACAAATTTTCAGTTACTTTGGAGGAGGAGTTATTGTCCCCGGACCTACATGTCCTGCAGAGAAGAGAGAGTTGGGACCTCATGTCCTGGAAGTGGGGAGGGGACAGACAGGCTGTAGATGTATGTACATTGCCCCTTCCGATCCCAGCAAGTAGTGGTGAATCTGCCAGTGGAGAATTCCCTGAGACTTCATTAACTTTCGCCTGGGTCCCCCTCTGCACTATCAAAATTCCCTGGGTGATTTCAGGGGCAGTGGAGCATGGGAAAGCCATATTGCCTGGGAAGAAAGCTGGAGGAAAGGGATCCCTGTATCTGCACAGAAGCTAGGCACTTGCAGGCAGGCAGGCCTGTGCTTTTAGCAGATCTCTCCAGTTTTGTGCAGTTTTTGTTAAGCTGATTTTTAGACGGCTGGTTTATTATAGGGTTCACCAGTAATCTAACCAGAAGATCCTTAGGTTCTTCTACCAAACTCAGGCTACAGGATTAGAGAATGTTGCAGTGGTTCTCAAACTTTTGTACTGGTGACCCCTTTCACATATCAAGCCTCTGAGTGCAACCCCCCTTATAAATTAAAAACACTTATTTATATAACGCCATTATAAATGCTGGAGAAACAGCGGGGTTTGGGGTAGAGACTGACAGCTCACGACTCCCCCCATGTAATAACCTTGCAACCCCCTTAGGGGCCCCAACCCCCAGTTTGAGAACCCCTGAGTAGAGAGTTCAATACCTTGTACGGACCATTGAAGTGTGTGGCAAGAACATTCACGCTGAGGACAGAGCTAGGCTGTTGAGATTTTTATTAAAATTAAGGAAAAGTTATCAAAGTTCCAAACCACAGAATCAGAAAGAAATAATACAGTTCTAGGGGTACCCATGGTAACATTCCTTGCAGAAGCTACTTAGACTAGCATATCCATAACCTTCCTTCAGGACCTAGAGATAAGGGACAGCATAGTCTTTGGCATGCCACAATGAGTCTGATGTTCCAGGTTCCTCAATGCCAAGATGGTGGAGATAAGGGCTAGATTAGAGTAGCTAAGGTATACTTAAACGTTAAGCTAACAGCTAAACAAAAGGAACTAACAAACTGAATGTTAAAAGAACTTGAAGCTAAAAGAAGTAACTCCACATGGTTGTTTGCCCTCTTATAGGGTCTTGGGACTATCCTGAATATTCATGTCAGTGGCCCACCTTTCATGTTCAAATCTCATTTCCTTATCCACATAAATCTTAGGGTACACTTACTCTATAGAACATAAGAATGGCCATACTGGGTCAGACCAATGGTCCATCTAGCCCAGTATCCTGTCTTCCGACAGTGGCCAATGCCAAGTGCTTCAGAGGGAATGAACAGAATAGGTAATCATCAAGTCTAGTGATCTGTTGCCCATTCCTAGCTTCTGGCAAACAGAGGCTAGGGACCAGGAGTGGCGCCAGGGTTTTTGCAACCCTAGGCAGCAGTGCTCTTCTAAGCATTCGGCGGCAGGGGTCCTTCCGCTCCACATCTTCAGGGCATTTTGGCGGCGGATCCCGGAGCAAGTGAAGGACCCCCCGCCGAATTTCTTCTGAAGAAACTCCGCCCTTTCCCCGCTCCCAGCCCCGCCCCAACTCTGCCCCCTCCCGCTCCCCTGCTTCCCGCGAATCAAATGTTCGCGGGAAGCTAGAAACAGGGAGGCAGCAGGTAAGCTGGGGCTGGGGCAGGATGCGGCGCGGCCCAGTCTGGCCCCCCTGGGCGAGCGGCTCCCTTTGGTGGCCGGCCGGCCCAGGCCAAGAGGCTCTGGCCCCGGCGTCTCCCGCCCGGCTCGGCTTGGGCCTCGGGGCGCTGGCCCCCCAGCCAAGTGTCTGCGCCCCCAGCCGAGCACCGCGCAGCCCCCCGGCCAAGTGCCC